TCCCAGCCCCGCCGGGACGCGGTGCGTTGCAGCCTGCTCTGGGTGACCCTGCTTGGGCAGGCGGTTGGGCTAGGTGACCCAGAGGTCCCTTTCCAAGCCCTAACATTCTGTGAATCTGTGTGCAGAACACTGTGGAGCGAAGCTACACTGGGTTTGTTGGGTGAAGGCTAGCATAAAGCTTTCAACCTCAGTGTAAAGCCATAGCGTTGGGGTTCACCCAGCTTCAGGGGGCTGCAGCCAGCGTTTGAGCCCACAAATAGCCTCAACCCTCCCAGCCACCAGCTCAGATCTCCGCTTCCAGAGGTCGAGATGCAGAGACCCAGCCTGAGCTGCCCACAACCATTTTTCCTTCAGCAAATCCTGGATGATAATAAAAGTTACTACAGACACAGATGAGATTGATGCCCTTGGAGGTTTACACAGGGCACGGAAAAGCCTGAAATATGCCACGCGCTTCAGGCTGAAATAGATGCAATACCCACTACCGAGCCTTGGACAGGACTCCAGCTGTTTCGGGGATATTTAGGTATAACCAGGGACCCTTGCTGCAGCTGGACAGGAGCCGGGGGGCTGCTGCAGTTCCCTGTCCTTACCCCGGTTGCCGTAGTTGTGGGTGTCCATGAAGGAGAGCCCCAGGCGCTCGTCCTCCTGCAGCGTGCTCTGGTCGGTGAAGCTCCTGTCGATGGCGCTCATCATGTGCGTCTTCTCGTGGCGGTAGTTGATGGTCGTTTTGGTCATGTTGACGGGTTTTCTGCAGAGGGATGCACAGGGGAGGAGGGGAAAGAAGCACACGTAAGCAGGGCTGACCCGACGGTGCTGTAAGATCCCCTCAAAGCTACCAGGCTCGGATTATTTTGGGGAGCAGGATGGATTATTTCCACCAGCGGTCACCACGCTCCGGTGTTCTGGTGCCCCAAGCCAGCTGCAGCCCCACGTGCACCATCCCTCGCTGGCTGAAACAACTCCAGTGGCTCGTCCTCAGCGTCCCCTCCTGTTCCCTCCCCAAAACGCCCTACGTCTGGAACAGCCGGGAGCGCTCCCCAGGCAAGCAAAGGGTCTCCCTGGCCAGCCAGTACGGCACAGGGCAGCCCCAGCTCTCCCCCAGCCCCGTTTCTCCAGGCACAGCCCACCCATCGCCCCACACCACCTCGCTGCGACACGGACCATCCAACACGCCACAAGCATCACTGTGCTGCACAGAACACGTGCAAGCAGCAGAAGACACACATGGAGCTGCTGGAGCGGGGCCAGAGGAGGCCCCAGCAACGATCCGAGGGCTGGAGCCCCTCTGCTGGGAGGAAAGGCTGGGAGAGCTGGGGCTGCTCGGCCTGGGAAGGAGAAGATTGTGGGGAGACCTTAGAGCAGCTGCCAGTGCCTGGAGGGGCCTACAGGAAGGATGGAGAGTGGCTTTTTGCAAAGGCCCCGGGGGGCCTAAACAAAAAGAGGAGAGATTCAGCCTAGACAGAAGGAAGAAATTCTTTACGATGAGGGTGGTGAAACCCTGGCACAGGTTGCCCAGAGAGATGGGAGATGCCCCATCCCTGGAAACATTCAGGGTCAGGTCGGACGGGGCTCTGAGCAGCCTGACCCAGCTGAAGATGTCCCTGCTCCCTGCGGGGCGGTTGGACTGGATGGCCTGTAAGGGTCCCTTCCAACCCAAACCAGTCTATGATTCTAAAACCATACCCGGGGGCCAAAACCAGCTCGCAAGCGACAGACTGGACCCCCAGACTGCACACGGGCTCAGCACCCACCAGCAAGGCTTCTTCCCTCTGTGCAAGGTCCCCATTAGGCACCTAAAGAAAATGCTGGAAAAGCCCAGGAACTCTTGCTGCGACAGAACCTCACACCCCAAATTGGAGACATTTAGGAAAAAAAAAAACTTATTGAGTGTGTTTGAGAGGCAACATCAAGCTCCCAAGAAGCCAAAGCAGGGATTAAACCAGGGGAAGGATGAACAGGAGATCCAAGCCCACATCGGCACCTTGGCACGGCCGGGACACAGCAAGATGCTGCCAAAATCCAGAATTCAACCCAGAATCACCAACCCCTCCCCTTTACGCTGCCTTCGGTCTCTAGTGAGCTCGGTGGCATTATTTTCCCCCAGCTGAAGATGCCCTTAAAATGCACCCAGCAGAGAAAAGGACTTGTCGGAGCAGCAGGGCAAGGGGGGTGGCTGGGAGGAAGGGCGAAGGAGAGCGAGAATGACAATTACTTACGGGTAATAGGAATAAGAATAGTAGTTCCTCCTGGCAAGCGTGCAAACAAAGAGAACAGCAGAAATTGCATAAGCAGCTTTTCTCTGGCATAGGGAAGGGGGGTTATGGGGCAACTCAGCTGCCGGAAAATTCAATGCACCATGAAGAAACGTGGCTCCCCTTTTGCTCCACGGGTTACTGACTCCGGGCAGGAGCTGCCGTCCCGGCGGCAGAGCCCAAGCGCCGGCTCTCCGGGTGACCCCGGTCCCCTGGTCAGCAGTGGGGTGTCTGCAGCACCCTTGTCCCAGAGGTTATTCCACAATTTTTAAGACTGAACAGCAAACATGTCCAAAATGTAGGGCATCCCCCGGGGAGCCGGTTAGGGACCAGGCAACCCCAGTGGGGAAAACGTGGTCAGGACACTGTGTTTACACCGCCCCATTTGTTAGACGTGAACATATTCTGGGGGTGCACTTCCACCACATCAGTGTTATTCCAACAGCAAAACACTCCACAGGAGGTTCCTGAGCTTGTCCCAGCTTCCCATTAGTCCCGAATTCAGGGCCCTCAGCACCAGGCCTGATTTGTGGTTCTGGTTTGTCCTTCGACAGGTTCACCTAAAGCAAAGCTGCTCCTCCTCCTCCTCCCGCTGCACAGCACGGGCGATGGGAACGCAGCCGCCGCACTCGTGGCTTCCTACCCGCCGGCGTGACAGCAAAGGCCCCAAAAAAACGCCG